CAGAAAGAAAGAAAGACAGAAAGAAAGAAAGACAGAAAGAAAGAAAGACAGAAAGAAAGAAAGACAGAAAGAAAGAAAGACAGAAAGAAAGAAAGACAGAAAGAAAGAAAGACAGAAAGAAAGAAAGACAGAAAGAAAGAAAGACAGAAAGAAAGAAAGAAAGAAAGAAAGAAAGAAAGAAAGAGAAAAAGAAAATGGTTGTAAGAAAGACCAGCTGGTGTGTGAATGGAGCAATTTAGATACTTAGGTTCTAAAATGCAAGTGAGAAAGTGAATGGAAGGAAATGTGTCAGAACAGTGGGCACCGAGGGGAGAGATGGTGGAATGGAGGGAGAGATGATGGACTGTGGGGGTCATGGAATGGGGAGGAGGGGTGGTGGAATGGGGGGTCGTGGAATGGGGGGATGGAGATGTTTTCAGTGACCAGGCTGATTCGGGTAATACCCAGTGGCTTATGTGCACACATAGTCACATACACACACGCACACGCATTCATACAGGCACACCTGCACCCTCATGCACACACATACACATGCACACCCTTTTCTTGGCTCATCAATCTTCAGGCCCACTGAGCCACTGTTCACTTTTGCTCCAGAGTTTGATTAAAGGTGTCCTTCAGTAAACCCTCCTCTGTCACTGCCCTCCAGCACTTCAACGGTGAATCTCTAATTACAGACCACCTTTGAGATTTACTAGTTGAAATCAACAGTTGTACATATGACATCAGTCTTCCCCCACCCCAGAAAAAATTGATACGCTGTTCCCATAAAAAGCGCAATTGTTATTTGCTTCCTTAGCATCTAGCTATGACAAAAACACACCCTTTTGCTGTTTAATATTAAAAGTGAATGTGGTAGAAAGAAACTGGGCTGGAATGAGGGGTGGATGCCTGTCCTGAAGGGCCCATGTTTGGAGGTAAACTATCTTATTTCTCTTGGGCCTTGGTGTCCTCATCTAACAGATTGAGAACATAAAAGCAAATTATCACTGCCCACTTAAGAATTCTATTCTGATCCGGGCCTGGTGGCACACATAGTCCCAGCACTCAGGAGGCAGAGGCAAGTGGCCAGCCTTGTCTACATAGCAAGTTCCAGGCCAGCTGGGGCTACAGGGGATACCTTGTCTCAAAAAGACTGGAAAAAAAAATTGTATTCTGACTATTGTGAACACAGTAGACGTCCCATTTCCATCCAGTCTTTCCCCACAACTTTATTTCACAGAGGCCTAATATAATTCTATGCTTTTGTGGTGCCATCAAGAAGCAAACCCTGGGGCCAGGCCAGGGAGATGGCTCAGTGAATAAAGTGTGGCCACACAGCTTGAGGAACTGAGTTTGAGTCCTTGGGACCCACATAAAGCCAGGTACAGTAGTTCACATCTGCAGCCTCCATGCTCCACAACGAGATGGGAGGTGGAGACAGGAGAGCCCTGGAGGCTCGTGGGCCAGCTAGTATGGGAGCTCACTCTTTCTTTCTTTCTTTCTTTCTTTCTTTCTTTTTCTTTCTTTCTTTCTTTCTTTCTTTCTTTCTGTCTCTCTCTCTCTCTCTCTCTCTCTCTCTCTGTGTCTCTCTCTATCTTCCCCCCCCTTTCTCTCCCACAAAAGAACATTTTGTTTGAAACATCTTTGTACTTTTGGCTGTGTGAATAATACTTTTTCTTGTCTCAGTCTGAACTGAAATTTGCTGGAAACCCTGCATTTTCTAAGTGCTTTGATATTGCAGACTCTTGTTTAATTCTTGAGGACGGGGGTCCTGAAATGTACAGCCATTGTGCACCAGGACTATGGATGTGAGACCCAGCATTCTCTAGGGGTTCACAGTGTTGTGGGGGTAGCTGAGCTGATGGGTCATTCCAGAACTGCCCCCCTAACACCTACTGCAACCTCATTCTACAGCCATTGTGCACCAGGACTATGGATGTGAGACCCAGCATTCTCTAGGGGTTCACAGTGTTGTGGGGGTAGCTGAGCTGATGGGTCATTCCAGAACTGCCCCCCTAACGGACAGGATCTACCGGACAGGGTCTTGAAGAAAGGAAATCAGACACAGGCAAAACAGAGGGGCTGGCTAGTTAGAAGGAAGTTTAGGGAGAAGGTGCCAGTGCCTGCCTAGAAGGTTTGGGAATTCTAGGACTTCACAGAACATGGTTACTAGGATCTTCCTACAGTTGAAAGAACTGTAGTATTTGGGTAGTGATTCAGAGAAGATACTGGAAATGTACTCAATGCACGAAGAGCCTAGGATTTCATGCCAAACAGTATTTGGTTTGATTCTGTTGTTTTGTTTTGAGATGGAGACTTATATAGCCTAGACTGACCTCAGACTCACTATGTAACTGAAGATGACCTTGAACTACTGATTGTCCTGCCTCTACCACCCTAGTGCTGGGATTATAGGTAAAAACTATCATGCCCAGTTTGTGTTTGCTGGGGATGGAACCCAGGGCTTTGTGCAGGAGAGGCAAAGATTCTACCATCTGAGTCATATCAGCACCCTTGTATTTTAGTTTTATTCTAAACTGATGGTGCTGTGGCCAGGCTCTGAGGAGAGGAGCAATAGGGTCAAGGTTCCTTTGGGACAGCAGAGCCAGGAATGGCAGACAGAGGAACGGAAGCAGGGAGGACTGAGGTTCTGCCTTGTCGATGTGAAAGGCAGCTCTCTATTCCAATGGGAATCAGAGGCTATTTCTTCTGAGTCAAACCCGAGTGACTGTAGCCTGGGAACACAAATTCAGTTCAGGTTAACCCAGATAACATGAAAGCCATTGCATGAACAATTTGTAGTCTAGTCCCAGAAAGTCATAAATCAAAGTTTCTTCCAAATGCGTTGGTGGGAGCATCAAGTAGGTGGGTGTCAGTAAAGCCGGGAGTCCTCAGATGCTGTCTGATGACATTCTTAGCTTTGGGGTTGGAGAAAGCTAGTGACCAGCTAAGAATATATTCCAGAGATTTTCTGTGATAGTAAAAAGATGTCAGATCGGATACAGAAATGAGCAATGAATGTCTATTAAGGGCACCAAAGATAGCCCAAGATAATTCTGGCTCTTGATCCACACCATTCCAACTCTCTGTTGTCAGGAAGTTCTAATCAGTCAATCAGTCTTGTAGAATCATCAACACAGCTGTGGTTTTGGGGGGCGAACTTCAGGTCACAGCTTCAACTGTAAAGGCCAAGTATGGGAACTAATCCTGGAGGCACACTGTGTTTCCAAGGGAGCGCAGGTGTGTGAGGGAAGTCAAGAGCAGCCTGAGAGTCCTCTTCAGAGGCAGTGCCAGATGGCCCTGCAGAGCCTCAGCCAGACCTGAGTTACAAGGGCTGGGCAGCTACCATCCTCACCTCCGGTTTCATGCTTTTCCCTATCTCTGCCTGTGGGGGATGGGGTGTGTGAGAGAGAGGTGGGGGGCGTCAGTGAACAATTTCAGGAGTCTGTTCTCTCCTTCTGCCTGTTAAAGCAGATCAATCTTGCTTCTGCCACTGTACAGAGTAGTCAGGTTAGGTGGCACTGGAGCTCTAGCTGGTTTTCCTGCCTCTGCCTCCCATCTCACCGAAGGAGGGCTGCGATTACAGATGCCCCCACCACATCTGACTTCTTACATGGATTCCAGGAATAGAACTCAGGTCCTCCAGGCTTAACAGTGCGAGCGCGTCT